ATCCCCATTCAGGGCCATACTACAGAAAGGAGGAACAGGTTTTTACAGATATCTGTAAAAGTCTGAATAATGGAATGTCACCAAATGAAGCATACCTTTCAATCAGCAAAAGAAATGCAAATGCAACATCCATAAGTCAAATGCTTCATAGTCCAAAAGTTGTGCATAACCAGAAGCAGAAACTTTACCAACAAGGAAACGGAAACACTCTCAATGATGTAGAAGGTTTGATTGACTTGCTGCGTAGTGGATCATTTGTACAGTCTGTGAACTTTGATTTCACTTCAAACTCTTCAATTATTTAGACAGTGCATATGTTGAAGGACATGTACCGCTTCTGTGTGCTTGGCAATGCTACCTGGGTTGTAGACACAACATTGAAAGTTGCTGATGGCTTTTGGTTGACTGATTCCTCTTATGAAAATGAATCCCTACTTGACTATAGAGGAAACCATCCAATTTTTCCAGGTAAATATTCAAAAGTATAATATCAAAGCCCTGTGTTTGTTATTAAGAGATGCCAGGGGCGTTATTAGAGTGGGGGTACAGGGGGTAACACCAACACTTTGTGTCCCTCGGCACATAAAAGAAGAGATTTTTCTGACCCTGTAACCTTTTTGCAATAGTTGTAACATATTATCATTTCTGAAGTAGTTAAAGATAATGACACCAAATAAGAATTTAGAAATTATGCATTTCCAGCAACAAATGCCTTTTAAGTACTTTGGTTAATGAGTTTTTTAATACAGTAATCTCCCAATAACTTTAGTCCATTAGTGACTTTGCACTGGACCTTTCAAAAAACTTTCAAATAAGGATTCATCAGTGAACTCACACCCCCTTAACTCAAGCATACTTGGATTTTTTTTATTTCCTTGCAGCAACTTGTTCTTGTATCTTAAATTTATGTTCTTGTTTCTTAAATATGGATATGGGTATATGTAGGTTTTTGATTATACTTAATGATATATTATTCTTAGGTCCAAGTCAATGGCATTTTAGAAAGTACCAGGAAGCATTCAGGCATTTTGCTGGTGAGCTTATAATTGCTGAACCAAAACTGTTTGGAATAAAGAAAATTGGGCATGATCTAGATCATGCACTTGTTACAGGTTTGGGCAGTGTATTACCAGAAGCAAGACATTTGTGGTGCACCCAACATATGCAAAATGCTGACTCCGCAAAACTGGCAAAAATGGGCGCAAAACCAGTCAGCGCATCATGGCTGATATTTATGGCTACCAAGCCAATACCTTGGAGTCCAAAGGTCTAGCTGATGCAATAAACTGGAAGATCTTCAGTCCAAGTTAGCCAACCTGAAACAAATTTGGGATGAGCTTTTGCCAGGGTTCCATTGTTCGATTCAGAAGCACAGGTCTGAAATCTTTGAGAAATGCCTAATATTATCAGCAAGAGAGGACCTCAATATAAATGGCAGATTCTATAGCAGTGGCTTAGAATTGAAGCACAGGTAATAAAAATTTATTTTGATTGTTATTTAGATTATCCTGACCTTCATGATAGAGAATCTCCAGAGAGTCTGCGTCTGCTCTATTCTCCAGAATGTTAAATTGATGCTTAATGCCGCTGATTTAAATAATTCTTATCATGACTTGATTGAGCAAATTGTTTGCGACAAAATAGCAAAGACTGCATGGTCCATCGCTGTCCTGACTGTCCAGGGGTCGACAACTTAAAAGAATTCCTGAAAAAAAGCTTTAAACCGATGATAGTGATGATAATGATGGTGACAGTGTTGAAGAGAATATAACTTTTAGTCAATGGACAACAGTAGACAGGTCAGAACTTATAATCCAAAACCTCCCAACAGAAGATTTCATATTTATTTTAGCAAATAAGATAGATGCATTCACTGCACACTCGTATATTTCCAAGGCACAGGCCCAGCATCTCAAGAAATGTAAAGAAGAACTTCAACAAGATGACTGTATAATATTGTTAGACTTTGCGGAAAATCTAAAGTTTGTCATCCAAGATGAAATTCAGAGCTACCATTGGCATCAACAAACATGTAGTTTGCATCCAGTTGTCATCTATTATAAAAGGGACAACATTCTTTGTGACAAATCACTCTGCATGGTATCAGATGATTTAGACCATGACACCAGCTTCGTTTACAAAGTTATGTCTTTCACGATATCATTTTTAAAAGAAAAACTAAATCCAAAAATGAAGTTGGTGCACTACTTTAGTGATGTAGTGGTCAATATAAAAATTATAAAAAATTTCTGAACGTTTGCCTACACGATCATGACTTCTCAGTTTCATGTTGGAAGAACAATTAAGCGACTGGTTACAAGGGCAAGTCTACAGAGACCACAGGAAGGCCAAATTCTAACAGCAAGACAAGTACGTGAATTCTGTGTAAAAGAAATTAAAGTAGTTGCCAGCATCTTTGTTTGTAAAGAGGAGATTGAGTTACTTAGATTTAAGCTTGATAAAAGGTACCAGAAAGCTTCAACCTTGCCTGGAACCTCAAAGCTTCCATCATTTCGTCCCACTCACTGAAAGAGTTATTGGTGCTAAGCTTGTTTCAAGTGAGAATTACTATACAATCAAGTATTATATTAATGGAGGTCAGAAATTGACAAAGTGGGTGAAAATGTGATGGTTGACAGGCGCGGATCCAGCCTGAATTCTGACCTATGCAATGCAAAGGTTGTTAGAAAGAGAAGCCACGCCCTTTTGAAATGCCCAAACTTTTCTTAAAGGTAATGTGTCCATATAAAAGGACTGCATATATCCAAATTGTCAAGTAATATCAAAATAACGTCTTGTGGTTGGTCAGTATTCTTGCGATGCAAAACTGCTCACGTAAAAAGCTAACCTAACAGCAGGGTAGATATACAGAACGACTGTAATGTCTGGTCCGATGACATGAAAAATCACATGTTTCTGAACCCCCGCAAAGTTGCTTACTTTAGCTGGACACATTACCTTTAATAAAATTTGTATCTCTGATATTGAATAGGGGATTCAAGAAAGGAATTCTAAGGATTGGCAAAGAATGGGGGTAGGGTCCCCCCTCGGGGAAGTAATTCTTATTAGGTGGGTTTGAGTAATTTTGGAGTGCTGATTCCGAAAATCGATGTTATACGGGCAAGTTGGGGGGCCTTCAGCCTCTATTTCATACCAAAGTCTCGTTTTCAATCAAAATAGAGCAAGTTGCTTTTTAAGGGAAGTATCTAAAATTCCCCTTCGGGGAAGTATCTAAAACTCATTGGATCTAGATAATTTTAGAATACTGATTCCAAAATTCGATATTATAAGTACGTATAAGGAGGCGTTTGGCCTCAATTCCTTGTTTAAATCTCGTTTTCACGCAAAAGGACAGAAGTGGCTTGATAAGATTCCTCCCAATTAAGAAATTTTTCCAAATTTAGCGCAATAGGGTATTGTGGTGTACTGATTCTAAAAAAATAATGTTTTGAGGCCTTTTGGGGGTCTTTTTGGCTCCACTTCTAACAAAGTATTGTACATTGCATCACATTACAGTACACCAAATTGTAACACCTAATCTGAAAGCAAATGAAACTGCAATGCCTGTGATTCATGATTGTTGTTGGTATGTCTCAAGATCATCAGATGGTTTTGTGAAATGGTGATTGCGATCAAAGTTAATGGAAGGTGAAGAGACTGAAACAAGAAGCGAAGTTTACACGTGGAGAAGACCACGTGTAACATGTGTATGATATGTAAGGGGGCTTTTTCCAGACATTTGTATGATATGTAAGAAGAAGGTTTCAAAAGTGAATGCTATTCCACAGTCGCTATCTAAGATTGTAACAGAAGCTGGTGAGAGTACTTTGAAATAATCTGCAAAGGTTAGATACGACTATGACATGATTATTGCAGTTTCAGAAACCAATAAAAAAATGCTATTTAGATTACACCAAGATTATTCGACAAAAAGCCTCTACAGTAACATCTACTGACGACGACGATGAAACATTTGGTAACTTTGATGCAGTACCGTCGTTGATTGAAAATGATATTCTTGAAGGTCAGCAGTGCTTGTCAATGGAGACCATCATTGTAGAGTACAATGAAACAATTGGAAAGCAAAGAGACCCGATATAAGCTAAAAGAGCTTTCGAAGCTATATGGAGATAATAAGTTTTTGTCCAGGTGCAGCTCCAAATACCGCAAGTTGTTGTAAGTAAGGTATGTCTTCATGCTCCAATACTATCCAAAAAATCCGGCTTCCTTCAAGAGTTCATGGTAAAAAGAGCTGCTTTTATCTTGAGAGAACTGATATTTATATTCATCGATGTTACATTGTCTCTTTCTTGGCCTCCAACTGTTGAAAGCTTTGGATCTAGAGAAGCATCAACAAGTCCCAAATTGTTGCAAGTGTTTTTTAAAGCATTACTATCATTAAAAGAAAGCCATCACAATTCTAGTGAAAGAGTAAATCGTTTTGCTGGTTCACTTAACCAAGATGTTGTGCATACGGTATCAAAGGGAAAGTTCTTGACTCCAAAGCATGCTTCACATTCTTACTGGTCAAAAGCAGCCAATCACAGTTTTGGCCAGATTGAGCCATTGCATAACGTTGCAGTCCAGACATGATAGTTCCTCGCAATTTTATTAATTTTCTACAGAATGGAGAAAACAGAACCATGCACATTAATTCAAAGAGCGATAAAAGTAGCCAAAAGTTAGTTACAAGGAAAGACCGTCTTCTTTTCCAACGAAAACAATTGCACTAAAGTGACGGAAGATGAAGTTGTCATAGATGAAAGAATGAAGAGCAATCACGAAGAAGCATATACAAAGCTGATTGCTTTAGTGAAAGAAGCAAACCTAAGGAATGGGGATTCTGTCAGATCACCTTCCTTTCGGGGATATCAATGTCCTATCCCTCTTTGTTGACCTTCATTTTGCGGGAATTCAAGTAATGATTGATAACGGAACAGGTCTAAATAGGAAAATTCTAATTATAGCGTCTTCAACACTGTGACATTAAGAAACGAGGAGAGCATGCTTCACATTCTTACCGGTCAAAAGCAGCCAATCACAGTTTTGGCCAGATTGAGCCATTGCATAACGTTGCAGTCCAGACATGATAGTTCCTCGCAATTTTATTAATTTTCTACAGAATGGAGAAAACAGAACCATGCACATTAATTCAAAGAGCGATAAAAGAAGCCAAAAGTTAGTTACAAGGAAAGACCGTCCTCTTTTCCAACGAAAACAATTGCACTAAAGTGACGGAAGATGAAGTTGTCATAGATGAAAGAATGAAGAGCAATCACGAAGAAGCATATACAAAGCTGATTGCTTTAGTGAAAGCAGCAAACCTAAGGAATGGGGATTCTGTCAGATCACCTTCCTTCCGGGGATATCAATGTCCTATCCCTCTTTGTTGACCTTGATTTTGCGGGAATTCAAGTATTGATTGATAACGGAACAGGTCTAAATAGGAAAATTGTAATTATAGCATCTTCAACACTGTGACATTAAGAAACGAGGAGAGCACTAATCGGTCTTCTTGCTTTTTCAGGAAAAGACTATGTTTCTATTTTTTTGAAAAGGGAAAATAGCTTTTTAGAGACAAATGGCAAAAAGATAGATTACCTAAATATATTTACGAATCTGGGGACCACGCTTCAAGTACCCGAAAAAGTTGAGAAGGGATTGGAAAAGTTTATATACGTATTTTATGGAAACGAAAGGATGCAAATGGTAAACGACGTGAGGAAGAAATGTTTTTGCAGAGTTTACGAATGAAAAGAAAGTAACCGATTTAAGCTTGCTGCCACCTTGAATTTAAAGCTCAGAATGGATGGGATGAAAGCTGATCAGTTGTTTGGAGTGATGTATGCTACCCAGCTGATGTCGCAGAGCTGCTGAATAACGAAATTGTGTCTACCGATGATAACGACAGGGCAAGTCTAATTGACGGCAATGGTAGAGAAAACGATTTTAATGAAGATATCATTGATTTGTACAATGCGTCATCATAATAAATTCACAAAATATACATTTTCTATACATAGATTGGAGGAAACTGGTTTGATAGATTGATGGATGATTTATAGTGTAGTTGAATTTTATAGCGGCTAATGCTCAAAAGTGTTTTTTGAATACGAGACTTTGTTATGAATTGGAGCCAAAAAGACCCCCAAAAGACCTTAAAACATTATTTTTAGAATCAGTACACCGTAATTACCCTATTGCGCTAAATTTGGAAAACTTTCTTTATTGGGAGGAATCTTATCAAGCCGCTTCTCTCCTTTTGCGTGAAAACGAGATTTAAACAAGGAATTGAGGCCAAAGGCCTCCTTATACGTACTTAAAATATCGAATTTTGGAATCAGCATTCTAAAATTATCTAGATCCAATGAATTTTAGATACTTCACCGAAGGGTTGATCCTTAAAAAGCAACTTGCTCTATTTTGATTGAAAACGAGACTTTGGTATGAAATAGAGGCTGAAGGCCCCCCAACTTCCCCGTATAACATAGATTTTCGTAATCAGCACCCCAAAATTACTCAAACCCACCTAATTAGAATTACTTCCCCGAGGGGGGACCCTACCCCCATTCTCCGCCTGGTCTATTCCATCCTCATCAGGTTAGCAGGGGGTGAAGCAGCGATTGTCAATTGCCACTGTAAACAATTCCATAGGTCAACTTTGATTCCTATTGTTTGGCTGAACTGCTGCAGAGGCAAGCTCGGCTTCTGATTTGCTTAATCAAATCTCACCTATGCTCCAGCCAAAGATTGCAGAGGTTAAGTACACTCTGATTGGCTCACAAGACGTTTGCAGAGGTCAAGAAAGTGGTGATTGTCTCTCGAGGGACAAACACGTTTCTGGATTCAGAAAATACAGACCAGATAAATGCCTAGAATTGTGCAGGCATTACTATTCGACTATTCTGTGCAGGGGTCGAAAGGCAGTCAGCAAAGTATATGCCCTGCTGTTTTCTGCATGTTGTTGTTATCAACGGTGGCAGATCTAGGGCGGACATTGCTGAAGAATTTTGATAGTTTCTATTTTATTTTGTTGTCATGAAAGTCTGACTTATGCTTTTGCATAGGCTGCTGTAGTCTGGATCCGCCTCTGGTTAAATGCTCAGACTTCATTATTTTTCGATATGATCAGCATTTTTGGCTTGGCTTCACAATTTCTGTTGATAAAATCTATGATGATGTGGAAGTGAAGTTTATGCACCCAGCCTTTCCCTCTATGTCATTTACATGGCCACAAAAGGAAGATATATGCTTTGTACCAAAGCCTTATATCCTATGCATTGTCAAAGCTCCCATAACAACAACTGGAAGAAGCTACAAATTAAATAAATCTGATATGGAAAAAGTTCATGATGAAATAAAAAAGCAAGAAACAATATAAAAACTTTGAATCTAAAAGTATATTTTCTTATAAACTGGTAGTTATTAGTATGAATTAATGTTAAATCTAAGACATCTATCAGGCCTGTTCCATTATTAGCTGTTGACAGCTGGACAGCTGATATCAGAATTCAACATACAATAATTTCAATATAAGAAAGAGTACCATCCAGATTTTCTAATATTTCGTTCTACATACTTTGAACTATTTTCACTCTAAATTTCATGCTCATAGGATAGGTCCTACCAAAGATACAAGAGCTTTTCTAACCCCGTTTGGGGTTAGTTTTCAGGGTGGAGAAATTGATACTTCATCAAATTTAAATGTTTTCTTATATTTCACACGAGTCAAAGTATTAAATGTTTAATTTGTAGACAATTTTGCCGTATTGGAAGTATTACCAATTCTATTAAGCATTTTCTAAGTGTTGTGCTTTTTGAAAATATCCAAGATGGCTGCCGGCTTCTATTTTTAGCACAATTTTGAAAAAATTTAATTGTTCATAACTCGGAAATGAAATAAAATTTTTGAAAAAAATTTGGTAGGTAAGTTCTTCTCAAGAACTGCTACTTTCCTGCAAAAAATCAGCCAATTCTAAGACTATGGGTGTCAAGATGTATGGAATGCTGTTGATTTGAGATGGAATGACCCTATCATCACTTTGAAGAATGCCGAGATATCTGCTCCATCTGGTAAAGCTATGCCTGAATATTTCACAATATGACCTCTTATCAGCTTAACCATTTGAGCATTTTTGGATGCCGAATTCCATACCGATATTTTTACTAAAGATACTCACCGTCTGTACAAGTGTGTCAAGCTCTTTTGCATTTTTTGCGCATAGCTTCAGATCATCCATAAATAGAAGATGATTTATCTTGCCACAGTCTTTTCCAAGCTTATATCCATCTTCCATTCCATTCAAGAATGCAGATAATGTTATCAAACATAGAACAAACAAGATTGGAGATAAACTGTCTCCCTGAAAAATTCCTCTCCTAATATTCACTATTCCTAATCCATCTGTACCAGATGTTAACTCTACCTTCCACGAATTTATAGAATTTGCTATCAGTCGCCCCACGCTTTCAAATTTCAGGCCCATATCATTTGAGTCAATACCACTAAAAATATTTACTTTTTGCTTGCGTGACTTCATGTTTGATTTTCTTAAAATACATGGCTATATTGAAGATCAAATTAAAAAAGGGTGGCGAATACAGGGCTTCATCAGAGCAAAAGTTAACGGGCTAAAAATTTTACATATTTAAGAAAGGCGATGGTGGTGCCGGATTGGCTGATGTGGAATGGTGTGGATGCAGCGCAGTGGTAGAGGAGGGAAGGGTGGCGAATGAGAGAGGGTGAGTGGTGGTGGTGGCATGAAGACGTAATGGGGATGAAGTACTGTAATATGAAATAATGATGGTGTTGCTATAAGGTTAACGGTCAGTAGTTCTCTTCATGCCGTCGGTGTTAGAGTGTTTGCCAGGCCAATGAGGTATTGCTTTTTGGCTCGTCGTACGCTCTCTCGTTTGTCGTTGAGTTTCAGTAATGGTGTTACAGTAAGGTCATTGATGGTATGTTCTGGGCTACAGAAGTGTTCTGCAACACCAGATTTGTCTACTTTTTTGTTGATAATGTCTCGTCTGTGTTCGTCAAGAAAAAAGTCATTGAGGATAGCAGAAATGGAGCATAGTTTGTTGAGGAAGTGTGAGGGTGGCCACCCTACAGAACACATATCAGAGTACGTCAGTGACATCCTTAACCCACTGGTCCCCAAACTTCCATCCTACATCAAAGACACCACACACTTCCTCAACAAACTATGCTCCATTTCTGCTATCCCCAAATGACTCTCTTCTTGTTACCCTCGATGTATCATCCCTTTACACCAACATTTCTCACACAGAAGGTATCAAAGCTGCCTGGATACACCTCAACAAACGCACATTAAAAACTCCTCCAACTGAAACTTTGTGACCTTGTCAACATTATTTTGACAAACAACAATTTTGAGTTTAAAGCCCCGTTCAAATGCTCTCGACTTTTCACTCGACTACTCTAGATTTTTGTCGAGAGTAAAAGTCGAGAGCGTTTGAACACCTTGTTAAGAGCAGTCGAGCGAAGTCGAGAGCAGTCGAGAGCAGTCGAGCGAAGTTTGAACACATTCAAAAAAGTTGAGCGGAGTCACACAACATTCCTATTGTTCAAGGTGTTGTTCAGCGTTGTCGAGAGCGTTTGAACACCTTGCTCAACAAAGTCGAGCGTGCGCATGCGTTCTTCTGATTTTCTGATTTTGCCCGCCAAAACACAAAACAGCCAAGTTCGTATTGTTGCAATCGAAATGGAGGACGAATCATTCACAGTTCACAGCATTCCTTCTCTGCCTTCTCAAGAATTCGGTTTAGGAGAAAGTGACAGTGAAAATGGCGATGACAGGCTGGAGGATCTTGACGAAAGCGCAAAAACTGTCCTCCTCCAGCTGTTGAACAAATCAAAACGAAAAAGGAAAGCCTCTTGCGAAATCCGGAAGAAATCATCAAAGACTGAGTCGAAAGCGAAAAAATGGACTCACGAAGAAATATCAAAACTTATCGAACTGTATGAAGAACGACAATGTTTGTGGATGGTGCAGGATAAGTCTTATCACAATAAAGACAAACGTGAGAAGGCCCTGGCTGAAATTGCAACAGAGTTGGATGCAACCAAAGGGGAGGTTAAAGCTAAAATTTTGAATCTGAGGAGTCAACTTGGTCGCGAAAACACGAAAATAAGAAAAACAACGTCAGGGCAAGGAACTGATGCCCTATATAAATCTAGCTGGATTTATTGGGAACACCTACAGTTCTTGCAATCATCTCTTCAGCCAGCAACAAGTAAAGATTCCCTTAAAATCCAAGAATGTTCATCTCCTTCATCAGCTGAAGTAGAATCTAAAATTGAGGAGACTCCAAAAAGTATAATCAAATCATTCAGAAGAGTCACTGAGGAAAAGAAGCAGGAGCTTTTGTCAACATGTATCAATGTACTCAAGGAACCTGCCAGCAAAGAGAATGGGGAGAAACAGTGCCACTTTGCAATGTATATTGCGGAAAAGCTTTCAAGCTTTAGCCCAAGGAACAGGGCAATTGCAGAAAAACGAATTCAAGATATCATTTTTGATATAGAGATGAATTCTTACCAGCAATCAGCATCAAGTTTTCAACCTGGGTCATTTGAGAACCAACAAATTCAAATGCAACCAACTAGTGACACTCAGAACCATACCCAAGGACCTTACATGACAATGCTTAACTAGCTATATTTCTATTTTGGACAATATAATTTTACATTGCTGTTCTTAAATATACATGTCTATGTTTTAGTTATTTTTAATGCAGAACTTTAATTAATATATCTTTATATCTATATATGTATATATATATATTATCTATACTTTCATCTCAAAACTTTAACAAGTTGAAGTTTTTTCTTTCTATTTATAAATTTATTTTGAAATTTCTGTATGTAGTTAGATTGGCTATTTGGTTTAGGCCAAATGGGGTTAAATTATATATATGGATATTTGTACTTAGCATGCCCCCTGCCCCTTTATCTATATATGCAAATACTCAGAAAATCTTCTCATCACAATATCACTTGCTCTCAATTTTGATAGATAATAAATATGAATTAATAGAATCAGAAAATAAATAAGAGAACACAACATGTAAGTGATTTTGAAAAGTAGAGTTGTTTATCACTATCATATCTTGTTAATCATTAATCAATCATTAATAAAATTTGTTTTAACACATGTTCCATTGCCAAGGTATAGCCAATGAGGTATAAGAATAGCTAGAGAGTCAACACGAGGCTCCTCTCACAGACTCAAGTGAAGCCTTTGCGGCGATCTGTAATATTCCATTTGCACGGCAAGAAACAGCAGCGAAATAGTAAACAAGTGACGAGGTCGAGATATTTGGAATAATTCTGGTGCAATAAAGAAAACGCATCAAACTAACAAGACTAAGAAAACAACAAGGATGCTTTACACTATGGAATAAGATCGTTATGGCTCATTTAAAAACATGTTTTCGCGATTACGGTTCCTTTTTGGTGAGCCGTTTCGAAAGGGCCATGGCCTACCATGGCCTAAATTATACACGCGTGCAAAAGTCAAATGTTTTTAAATAGTATGAGCTTGTTCATCTGATGTCTAATGCTAGGAGTGTTCGAATTGACTATTTGTCGGGTGTATCGCTTACCGTAAGTTTGTAGACGCATGGTTAAGTATCTAATTGACACTTTTTTGACGAGTTGAGTGAGGTGATCATCCTGAAACCCAGGTTCCACTTCAAACCCATGATCGCCCATACATGGAAAGTGTTGCTGCCAGTCACACACAGAGACAACTTGAATCAACATTTTCCGAAGAAGATTACTTTCCGAAGTGATTTGATTTCGGCTCGAATTAATGACATTCATTTTGAAAGATTTTTCGCATTGCTCCACAACTTTGAAAGCTCCATATGATGCTTGAATCAATCCACCTCTGTTCTTACGGGAAACGAGCATTGCGTATGGCATGGTTGCATAGAAGTGATCTGTGGAAGAAACTAGAATCACCAAAGACTCAGAACACTGCTGGCAATCAATCTTATGGATAATTTTCCTGATAATGAAGCCAGAAATGTAGTAAAGAATATTCTCCTGCAGCGAGGTTACATTTATGGATCCAAACAGATGGTGAAGTTCTTCCTCACTTTCAATGGTTTCATCCTCAGAGATGGGTTTGAGCAACTCAGCAACAGGTGTGCGTCTTTTACTGGCCCTAAGGGAGAATATTGATCCATTGGACTCAGCCTCAAATGAAAGGACATTTGCCTTATTGGATGCCATTATTGAGTTTCGCATTAATATTTGGCGAAGAGCTGTCTTGAACTGTACTGTGTTTGGATTGTTGTTGAATCCTCCTCGAGCACGTACACATGAAAACAAAAGCTCAATGTGATCCTGAGAGAATTTGTAGGTCAGCACAAATCTGTAAGGATCATTATTTCTCATAAGTAACTCTTCGGCTATAATAAAAAATTGACTTTGATGCTGATACAAACCCCAAGATGAATGTTTTGCGACGATGATTTACCAGAAGTTGATCATTGCCTGCTTTCAGGCTAAGAAGATATTCTGAGATATTTTGGATTTGTTGTTTTAAGCTGTTTAAATTTGTGGCTCTTATAGGTGATTTAAAACCTTTCATCATTGGGTGCCTAGAATTAAGAAAGTCAAACAGCCTATCAATGTTTCTAATAAATTGGATTGTAGCAGCACAACTTTGGAAGCTTTCAAGATTCATGTCAGTTTTCAGAAACTCTAATGCATCAGCTACAGATGAGCTGAATGTTTGGGCTGCTAGCTTGACTTTCATTTTGTGTTTTTCCCAATTTATGTGTTCTGAATTTAACTTGTTTGCTAAAGTAAAACCTTCCTTGTCTTGCAAGACTGAAAGATTTGTTATGTATCTCCAAGAGATACTTTCCCCATCTGATGTTTTGAATGATCCTATGTTTCCTAAGGCATTGCGAGCCAATTTTAACATGTGACATGCATCTAATGTGGAATAAACAAAATAATCTCTTGTAGGATGCTTAAATTTAACAATCATGGTGTCATATTTATCTGTGAATCTGCATCCAAGGTTCTCCAGTGTGCTTAAATTGGTAGATGTACCATCACATGTTATGGACCAGACTCTAAAGCCATGATCAGCTGCTAATGAAAGGCCTGTTTTGATTAATGATGCTTGTGATTCAGCATTTAATTTGTCTGTTAAAAAGTATCCAACTGGACATTTCCAGTGTGACTTTAGGCCGGTCAACATAAAAACTAAAGCCTCAGAAGCAAGGTTTTCAGAGTTTTCTGGAATGAGTTACCATAGTCAACAAAGCCAGAATACTTTGACTTGAGCTGATTCATATTTACCTGTTTCCTAATTGACATTCCATCAATAAGCAAGGCACAATCTAACATTTCTGGCTTATCTTTGACTGGTTTTCAAGATCCTGAAAAACTCAGTAAGGAGCACTGGCTCACAGTTGACGGAAGCTGTCCACTGCTTAATGGATGACTCATGTGGTAGCTTAAATTTGCATAGAAAATTATATGCCTGTGCGAGTAGAATTTTTACAGTCAGGGCAATTATAATTTAATGTGCTTGTAAATTTCGCTATATCGCCTTCCAGCTGGTTTACGGCCCTCATTTTTAACCTCATTCGAAAAGTTCCAAACAGGTGCCAGAAATTGATCCTTAAGGAGGTCTGCACTTGACTGGGAAAGAAGTTCTTTATTTTTCATAGTATCAATAAGGTCACCATTGTTTTTATTTTCTGATTTCGTCTACGCAGCTTTTGTGAAGAATTTTGATTTTTTTTCTCAGTCGCATTTTTGTTGGTGAATTGGGATCAGATTTTCCCTCTTTAGGTTTTTAACTGTTTGGCTTTTTTGCTGTCCTTTGCCCCCTTTTTTAACATGGGTTTTTCCTCACTTAACTCCTTCTGGTTGCTTTGGGTGGCTCTCTCTTGAGGTGTTTTGGGAACTTTGGGAAAAGGATTGGTACAGCAGAGGGTGCCAAACGTGGCCTTGGCTGACCAGGGGTACCTTGTAATCTGTAACAAGGAAGTGATCGCTACATATATAGGAGTATTTTGTAGGGTGCCATTTCCAAGGCCTCACTGCTGCAATCCAGAGTTGCCGCTTCTCCTCATTTGCAGGAAACCTGAAAGGCACCAAAAAGCAAAAAAGGCTTAACAAACAACCAACCTGAAAAATCACCACGAATCTCAAAGGCCAAGAATCTCAAAACTCTCAACCCATCTGAAGCAAATAAAATATATATTTATGACTGTCTGGAACGATCATTTTTTGCAAAATATTTAACGAGAAATGCAACCATGACCAGGCGGCTTCGCCGAGCAAAACTTTCCATCTACCCACAAATAATAGTAAAACCTTGGAAAAAATCTCATCCTAGCTGCTAATGAATTCTAAAATAACTGATAAATTATAAACCTAGACCCAGCAGACCCTATAAAATCCATTAGCAATCAGAAACCAACCGGTGAAATGAGACAGGCCTAGGCCTACTTGCTCCATCAACATCCCCTACTCCCATCGAATTTTCGCATTCTTGACTATCAATCTGATCACCATCAGTTCCTCCACCCTTACTTCCATCTCGTTGTCGATTCTGACAACCAAAGGCAGCACAAGAAATAACCATTTCGAAAGCAGTACGTGTTTTACAAATCACACACTCGCAGAACACAACAACCCGTCAGAAGACTTTTGCCGTGCAAATGAAATTCTTCGAAACGCCTTGTGGCTTCAAGCCTCACTTTCATGCTATCTCTCTAGCTATTCTTATACCTCATTGGGTATAGCCCCTTCATTACAGAAATAGTCTTTGAATATTTCCCTGACTTGCTTTGCACTAGCGTGCCACCAGCCGATCCACTTCTCCATGTGCCTTGGATCAAATTTCCTGATTCGTCTTCAGCATCAGTTATTCATGGTGGGCAATATAGTGACTTGGATTTACTTTTCCGTAAAAAATTGTGCAGTGACAAGGTTGCCATTGTAATATTTGTAACTGAATCTGGTGGTAGACAAATGTTTGATCGGAATATTCGCTAACGGTTTGCAATAATGCCAAATAGATTTCCATAGAATCTTCTAGCACGGCTATGCCTATAATTGTATATGCGTTTGTCATCTGTGAGTCCACATTGTGGATATGGTTTCATCAAAAAATTCTGCAATGCAAATGCCTCGTCAGCTACAACTACATAAGGTACCTTCTCTATACCAGAAGGTAAGCATTTGGGTTCTGGCAACAGCAATTTTTTCTCTTCGATAGCTTTAGAAAGATCACATTTGTTCCATACTCCTCCATCAGATACACGACCATTTGTACCAACATCGGCATATAAACATTCATAATTCGGTCCCGCAAGTGCAAGTAAAACTATCGAATGCGAGTGTTTGTAATTGTAATAATGTGATCCAGAATTTGCAGGTGGTTGAATGACAATATGCTTACCATCCAAAGCTCCAACACAATTGGGATAATGCCATAATTCGTTAAACCTTGCTGCAATTTCATCCCACTCCTCAACAGATGAAGGTACTTTGAGGTAAAGAGGACCAACATTTTTAACTATGGCAGCACAAACTTCATTTACAATGTAAGATATGGCTGATGTTGATATTCGAAATTGGAATCGTAAAGACCTGTAACTTTCTCCAGTGGCGAGAAATCTAATGGTGAGGGCCAACCTTGATTTTGGTGTTATTGTTGGACTTCCACCTAAAATGGCTTGTGGTGTTATATCCCTTTCGACCAATGATAGCAGAAATAGGAAGTCTGCATGAGACATCCTCATCATCTCCTTGTAAGCAGCAGTATCTTCAATACTAAGCTCTGTTATAATGTTGCTAACATAGCCTTTTTCTTCTCGGCGCTTCATCCAATCTTTTGTTTTGCCTCTTTTCCAATGTCTTCTGTCGTCATCGATCACATTTAATAAGCATAAAGCGGCCAGAGCTTTGCGTTTTTTGCCCTCCATCGATCCTGCTGATTCTGCCATTTTGTTTTCGCAATTGAAATTTGGCGCCAAGTTGTCAGTATGCTTTCACAGCATCTTGCCACTTCACAGGAGGGATTTTATAATCAAACGGAAATCGAGTGAAAAGTCGAGAGCGTTTGAACACCTCCCGCTCGACTACACTCAACAGTGCTCGACAACGCTCAACAAAAATCGAGAGTAGTCGAGTGAAAGTCGAGAGCGTTTGAACAAGGCTTAACGGACAACACTTTTTACAGAAACAGGGTACAGCTATAGGAACAAGGATGGCACCACCCTATGCAAACCTTTTCATGGGGACCTTGGAGTCTGATGCCCTGGAGAAAACCCCTCACAAACCTCTGGTATGGTGGCGTTTCATCGACGATATTTTTATGATTTGGACACACGGAGAAGACAAACTCACTGACTTTATCAATACACTCAACAGTACCCATCCCACTTTTAAATTCACTAGTGAACAATCCAAACAATCCATACATTTTCTATCAATAAAAACAACACTCTCTCCACAGATCTCTATGTCAAACCCACAGACACACACCAGTATCTCCTCAGCACCTCCGCACACCCCAAACACACAAAACAGTCAATCCCATACAGTCTTGCCTACGACTACGACGTATATCCTCGGAAGATGAAACCTACAAATTCCGAACAAAACAACTATTACAATACTTAACAAAATGAGGTTAAAAAACAAAACAAAACAGACACTCAAACAAATACCAGACAAGAACCCCTGAAAACCACAAAACAACGTAAAAATCACAGAACACCATTTGTAGTCACCTATCACCCCTCATTGCCACAGCTATCTACCATCCTCAAACAAAAGATCAACATATTACAGAACTCCAAAACATGCAAAGAAGTCTTCCCCGACATACCAAAACTCAGCTACCGAAGACCAAAAAACCTCCAGCATCTATTGGTTTGTGCACGAATAAAAAGTGACACACCCAGTAATCCCAGAGGCACATACAAATGCCACTCGCGACGTAACTCCATAACATGCCAACACATCACAGACAGTACTACTTCTTTTAACTTTACTAACACTGACAAAAACTACGACATAAAACAAAGACTGGACTGCAACTCAACTAACGTTCTTTACGGATTACAGTGCAAACGCTGTTTAACTAACAGACACAAGAACTGTCAATACATCGGACAAGCAAGGAGACAACTGAAAGACAGATTTAACGAACACAGACGAGACATTATCAACAAAAAAGTAGACAAATCTGGTGTTGCAGAACACTTCTGTAGCCCAGAACATACCATCAATGACCTTACTGTAACACCATTACTGAAACTCAACGACAAACGAGAGAGTGTCCGACGTGCCAAAGAGCAATACCTCATTGGCCTGGCAAACACTCTAACACCGAACGGCATGAACAGAACTACTGACCGTTAACCTTATAGCAACAACATCATTATTTCATATTACAGTACTTCATCCCCATTACGTCTTCATGCCACCACCACCACCCACCCTCTCTCATTCGCCACCCCTCCCTCCTCTACCACTGCGCTGCATTCACACCATTCCACATCAGCCAATCTGACACCACCATCGCCTTTTTCAAATATTTAAAATTTTTAGCCCGTTAACTTTTGCTCTGATGAAGCCCCGTACAATATTAGCCTTTACTGATTTACGTGTTTTTATTGTTGTTTATTCTTGGCGTATTGCGGTGTTTCATATTTGCTACATTTTTATCGACTTTTTGCCGCAAGAACTCCTTGGAGCCCGTCAAGCAGCCTGCTACAGTGGCCTTTTCTTCATTCACACATTATCATCATATCCCTGACAACATACAGCTTCTCATTTCTAGCCTTTACATCGATTTTAAAACCTCTATCATCACAAGCCACTATAATATTCCTGCTATTCCAGTCCGCCGTGGTGTGCTTCAAGGCGACTGCCTCAGTCCCCTACTATTTAATCTATGTTTCAATACTTTTATACAGTACATAAAAGCTGAAAAATACAAACAGTTAGGTTTTTCCCTACATGATCAGAACTGTAGCTTCAAAGTAAATCTGCTACAGAGTAGGGCACGAACTAATTAGAAATGAACCCAGATACCACAAAGCAAACACAACGCTGGCGTTCTTTCAATCTTGATAATTGTTCACTAAATAAACAAGATTAAAAAATAGTTGATAAATGTATACATAATTAATTAACGAGTTCTAGATGTAATGCAATCGAATGAAAATAACAACGTGAAGAGAAAGCAACTGGTTTGTTTGACCTCGTAGCATTATCTAAGCAATAGGCTTATTCACAGCCAAATGCTATGCCGAAAACGGTTTCTTCTTTTGCTTGCAACTCGTACGACCTACTATCGATGCTGTTCTCTTTCTCTCCGTGGGTAAAACACGCCCAATGCTTATATATGGCTACGATTACAAATCCTTGAAGACAAGCTTATCACGAGAAGAAATATCACGTGTCCCTGAGGACATGCCTAAACAATGCTAATCATATCTAATTATAACAGGGTCGAAAGTCCAAAATCCAAATATCTATGTAAACAACAACAAATAAAATAAGAATAAAAACAATCTGTTTTCTACAAGAACGACCATGTGTTTCCACCAGTCCATTGGTTTCAGTTCGCTGACGCTGCGAATCTCAGTTTTTCCTTTTACCTTACGATTGTTATAGTTTTGTTAAAGCTATAGCAAAGACAAAAACTAGCAAAGACAAAAACATATGGAGGGAACTATGATTGGCCAGATCTACTTTTCATGCTAACAAGTTTGATGGATCAGTTATCTTCAAGGATGGTTTTGCTGTGGTTGTCGTTAATGGCAAGGAGTTGAATAGGAAAGATTTGGAAAGAGAAATTGAGGGGGAATTGGAGAAACAGGATATCATTAAAAGCTGTGAGCTCCGCATGCAAGGATGTTCTATAGGAATTGAGAATATAGACAAAAAATTTTGCATCAAGTTTATTACCGATGGAAACTCTCTGATAGTTTAGTCAAGTTTATTCTACGTGCACGTATCAATCAAATTCCTTGTAATTAGGTAATTCAAATGTGGAATAACGATCACGATAAAAGATGTTCAATGTGTAATGAAAGGACTGAATCAATGGCACACTTAATGAATTCCTGCAGAAAGTACAAAGATTTATACTCGCGAAGGCACGATTGGGTCGTATAATTCTTATGCCAAAAAATCCAAAAAAAGAATTCAACATCAACGTTATTTGTCAACAAAATGGTAGAAACAGCTTTTCCACACATCAAAAATGCATTTCGACAGCTAAACCAAAGGAAGCCTGATATACTAGAGATAAAAATGAACAAGAGAGAATGTGAAATTGTTGAAGTCACTGTCTGCTTTGATTTGTATATGGATACATCCTACCGAGAAAAAAGAAAATAAATATCAACCACTGATAAACTCAATGAATGAAAATGGAATTGCAACAAGAATCAGTGTCATGTGTTTTGGATCACTTGGGACCGTACATAAGGATGTGAGGGGAAACTTGAAAAGGCTAGGACTATCAGGGGAAGAGGCAAAAGAAAGAATAAAGTGGTGCAGTGTATCAAACATGATTTGTGGTAGCATCGTATGGCGAAATAGGTGTAAAAAAGTGCAAAGTCATTAGCTCCTTTCTTTATCACGCCTAATGCACCTAAAATAACTGGAATTGTACAAGTTTTGAGGTGTCACATCTTTTCTACCTCGATCTCGAGATCTTTGTATTTGGAGAGCTTTTCAAAGGTTTTTACGGCGACATTCCGATCAGAAGGCACACTCATATCAATGAGAAAGCATTGGTTGTTTTCCTATCCTTGATTAAGTATCAGGACGGTTGCTTTAATCGTGCGGTCTGTTTAAATCGGAAAATCCCAAAGAATAGTAACATCATTTCCCTCTGTGACTGGTTCTGGATGGTGCTTGTACCATTCACTTGGGGTCTTGATGGAAAAATGGTTGCATATTTTCCAATGGAGATATTGACCAACCCTATCATGTCTGTTTTTATACTCCCCCGGTGTTAAGATGGAGCAGCCAGAAACAAGGTGATCAATTGTTTCAATTCTTTCATCGCAAAATCTACATTTTGGGTCAGCCCCATTGTGTAAGATATTGGCTTGATAATTTCTAGTGAGCAAACGTTGATCTTGTGCAGCAAGAATGAAGTCCTCTGTTTTCGCTTTTAGTCCGGAGCTACGTAGCCACTGATGGGTTGCATGTGTATCTACATCAGCATTATTGGCTCGAGCAGCAAACTGTCCATGGAGAGGTTTCTCTTGCCAGCGAGATTCAAGTTGTTTTAAACCTTCATGTTTCGCTTTATTCTTTGATTTGCGAGCCATCTCAGTTGGTGATAATAAGTTGTCTACTTCTAGTTCAAGGTCAAGTTCCCGAGAGTATTTGTCAGATTCCTTTGTAACAGAGTGTAACCTTTTGGAGTTTTCATGCCTGTTTACCAACTGGAGCATCCAATCTTCTGTATTATCAAGGTAATTGAAGAGGCCTATTGTTGACGTTTTGTAGGAAAGTTCCATTTGTATCATTCCTCTTCCTCCCTTGTTGCGAGGAAGGTAGAGATGGTCAACATCAGATGTTGGATGGAGCATTCTGTTACAGGTAAACAATTTTCTGATTTTGCTGTCTATTTTCTTGATTTCACTTAAGTTCCAATTCATGATATTAAAACTGTAAGTTACTACTGATAACGCTAAGGTGTTTATAGCGGTTATTCTGTTTTTAGAATTTAGCTCAGTTTTCAAGATAGATCTGACTCTGCGCAGACATTCTTTCTTAATTTTCTCTTTCATCTTTGCATGTTGTATCCCATCACCCTCATTAACTCCTAAGTATTTATATGTACCTTCTTGATCAAGCTCTTTCATGACAGAGTCATCATCAAGTACAACGTTCTTTGTTTGTTCCAGTTTCCCTTTTTAAATATGGGTTTCGCACATTTGCTCAGCCCAAACTCCATTCCAATGTCATCACTGAATGCCTTCACTGTTTTCAGCAGTCCCTCCAGTTCGTTATCATTAAAGGCATAGAGTTTTAGATCATCCATGGAGAACAGATGATTTATTCTGCGTGCAAAGATTTTATATCCATATCCTGTTTGGTTAAGGAGTTTAGAAAGAGGCATAAGTGCCATGCAAAATAACAGGGGTGCCAGAAAGTCACCCTGAAAGATGCCACATTTAATTTTCATGCCAGGGGAGGACAAGATACCATTAGAGTGGGATAAGAAAAGGTTAGTTTGCCACATTTTCATAGATGATGTGAGAAAATTTATAAGGGTAGGTGAAATTTTAAAAAGTTGTAAGCAACGTAGGATCCAAGAGTGTGGTACGCTGTTGAAAGCCTTTTTATAGTCGATCCAGGCTGTGCTCAAATTATGATGCTTTGATTTAGCATTTTCCAGTAGCATTTTGTTTATCAGTAGTTGGTCTTTACAGCCATATGAGCCCTTTTTGCACCCTTTTTGTTCAATTGGGAACATATCGTGTTCCTCCAGGTGTGTATAGGTCCTTTCCAAGAGGACAGAAGTTAGTAGTTTGTATGATGTGAATAAACATGTGATTGGCCTGTAGTTTTCAGGATCTTCAGTCTCAGCAGTCTTAGCAAGTAGGTACGTTGTGCCTTGGCAAAACCAAGTTGGAGTGAGGTTAGGCTCATTAATTAATTTATTCAGATTTGATGCTAGTTTAGAATGAACAGATTGCAATGTATCTAGCCAGAAATTAGGAACCTGGTCTAGACCTGGTGATTTCCATTTATGAGCTTTTCTTAGGGCCTTTGTTATCTCTTCAATAGTAATATCACTCCATTCTTGTTCAGGAATATATACTATCTCCTTTTCTAGATCTTCAATCCATTTAGCGTTCTCATTGTGCCCTGTATTATTACCCCAAATGTTGTTCCAAAAGTCTTTCACTTGGTCTTCCATTGGTATTTCTTTCACTTCAATGTTCGTTTAACCAATTTCTCTGTAGAACTTTTTGGCATCCGTCTCAAAGATCTTGTTTTGCCAGTAGAAGTCATTGCGTTTAGAAAATCGGCGTAATCTTTGTGCTTTCACTTGCAGCTTTTGCTTAAGTTTCTTTTAATAATGGGTATTTGTTCTTTATTTTCAATATGATATTTTCTAATTACTTGTGTGGATTTTCTAGATTTCGATTTTCCATTTTATTATCATTTTTGTTACTATTATTATTATTATTATTATTATGCTGATTTACACAGTTCTGATGTTATAACTGGCTTGTTATTGATGTTTCTTGAAATCGGATCAATACGATCTTAGATCTCGAGAACTTTCTCAACACTCTTGCAGTTCTTAAAAGTACAGATTTTTGTATTAGTTTAATCTGTGTCTTTGTTTCCTCACAGGACAGACTTTAGAACAAGACACCCAATCGTATAATGAAAATCTTATTCGATCTAAAACAAGTAAATTATGAATATAAGTAAATACAAAACGTCTTACAGCGGCGATAAACTGAATAACTGGAATGGAAACTGAATACGAAAATACAATAAAATAAACTTACTTACTTATGGTGATGTCTCTAAAGTGTCTTTGATAAGCTGGTTTCTGTCTAAATATTATTCCTGGTTAGCATGCGGTAACGATCGTGTCCTATTTTCCAACGTGTGAATACTACTAACTAAAACTAATTTGCATAAGAATAAAACAGAGCGGGATAATACAAAGCAACTTGTCAACATAATAATAATGTCCTTTAAGAATATATAATCAACGAAACATCCTCCGCCCCCGATAAGGGCGTGGTCCTTATCAAATATGTAAAGTTATTTATTCATATCCTTCTGCTGGGCATATAACTGCTATCTTTGTCACTGGGCGACTGTATTCTCCTGTTGCTGTTTTTACTTTGACATTGCGCACTCGTCCATCAGGTCCCGGGAATACTTCAAGGATTCTTCCAATGTTCCATTTACCTCGGATTGCGTTGTTCTCGGCAACAATAACTGTGTCATTAGGTTGGACATTGCGGCGGTCCATGTGCCATTTCTTTTTTGGAACAAGTGATGGAAAAACATCTCGTATCCATCGTTTCCAGAATGATTTTACAATTTTTTGAACAAACTCTACCCTTTGACGTGGGTCTTTAGTTTCTTGAAATGGGCCTTGAGGTACTTCTGGGGTAGCTCTTCCTAACAGAAGATCGTTTGGGCATAAGTAGGCTCCATCATCTGGATCATTTGGAATTCTACCAATTGGGCGTTGGTTCAATAAGTTTGCAACTTCCATCAAACAAGTGTTTAATTCAAAGGGTCTCAAAACTTGTTCACCAATAGCGATTTTTAATGCTCTTTTGCTGCTCTTTACAAGTGCTTCTGCGCATCCATTTTGGTGTGGTGCTGCCGGTGTGATGAAAATCCAGTTTATGCCTTTCCCTGCACAAAACTCTTGAAGTTGGTCAGTGTCGAATTCCCCTATCATCTCTCTCAAAACTCTCTCTGCACCAACCATTTGTGTTCCATTGTCACTCAAAATTACTGCTGGATAGCCTCGAATGCAAAAAAATCTTCTCAGTACTTGTAAAAATTCCATTGTAGAACAATCGGTTGCTAGCTCTAGGTGAACTGCTCTTGTACTCAAGCATGTAAATATGACACCATAATGCTTTGCTGTTTTATTACGTCCAATTCTAACATTGTACGGTCCAAAATAATCACATGCGGTGTAGTAGAATGGTGGTGTTTGCGGTGTCAGTCGAATTGCAGGAAGGCTTCCCATTTGTTGTTCTTCTGCTTTGTGTGCCAATTCTCTGCAGAACACACACTTGAATTTAACAGATTTGCTTATTTTGTTGCCTGTAAGTATCCAATATTTCCTCCTTATCTTGGCTGTGGTTGTTGCAACTCCGGTGTGTCCGTGTTGGTGTACGTGTCTAGTTATCAGCAGTGAAATCCTATGATAACTTGGCAGTAGGGCTGGATGTCTTGTCTCATAAGACAATAACGCTTTATCTGCTCTGCCTCCAACTCTAATAACTCCATTTTCGTCAACAAAAGGACTGAGTGACTTGAATTCACCTTTCTTTAAACGGTTATGTAAGCTTTTTTGTGCATCTTTGATCAGAAACAACTCTGATTTCTGGAGTTCTTCGGGTTTCAGTGGTCCATATTTAAATGGTACATGACGTTTCAGGCGTCTGATATTTTCAGCTAGTCTTTTGATCCATGCATAAACTCGTATAAGCTTCGGCCAACTGGAGACTGTGTCATAATTGTTAACATTTTCAGGCTTTGTGTTTATCGACAAACAGACTTTTGTAGCTTTACGACGTTCACTGTCTTCTTTGACTGGCGACGGAATAGCTTTTGTTGGCCATAATTCTTCCGCAGTTCGTAGAAACTCTGGTCCGTGCATCCATCTTCCGTTCAGTTCATGTACATGAATCCCTCGTGACAGCTCGTCTGCTACATTGTTTTCCCCAGGAATGTGTTTCCACTGGCTAGGGTCTGAATTGCTTTGAATCTCTCCTATCCTGGATGATACAAATGGTTTGTAACTGCGTGATGGACTTTGAATCCAAGCTAATGTTATCGAGCTGTCTGTGAAGAAATTAACATCCTTGAATTCGATCCTTGATTCTTCTTGAATCGTTTTTGCAAGACGTGATGCAAGGACAGCAGCTTGTAACTCCAAGCGTGGTATGGTTAGCTGTTTTAGTGGTGCAACTCTTGTTTTGGCAGCAACGAATCTAACATCAAATTTGCCATTCTCAATCTTCTGTCGAAGGTATGCACATGCTCCAAAGGCTTCTTGTGACGCATCTGAAAACAAACACAATGATGGTTTTTCTTTGACATCTGTTGTTAGCAATGGTCTTCTGAAAGAAATATTGTTGAGCTCTTTCATCTCTTTAAACAGTTCAATCCATTTCCCTCGCATATTTGTAGGAATTTCTATATCCCAATCAATTCCAGTCTGCCATAGTTCCTGTATTCCAATCTTAGCTCTGATAATAAATGCAGCAGCCAATCCGATTGGATCGTAAATCTTTGCAACTTCAGACAGTAGTCTTCTTTTGGTTAGTTTTACCTTCTCTGTTAGATGCTTTTCTTCATCAATGAGTTTCATCAAGTCAGAGTCAACTTTAAGTGACAGCGTATCTGACTTTCTGTTCCAAGAAATTCCAAGTACTTTCTCATCTGCTTCTTCTTTCAGCATATTGTTTGCATCTGACTCTCCTGTATGCTTGCTGTTTTCATGCAGTTCTTTGTTTGAAATCCATCCTTTGACTTGGA